GGTTATGTATTTGAAAATAAAGGCGACCGGTTTAAAACTGAGCATTTTACTCATCGAGTGTAAGATCATCTTTACAAATTAGGACCTAGCGCAACATGCCCAATGCGATAATAACGAGGAAATGGCCTATTATCTACGTTTGTATTTAACCACGTCAGGCCCCCATGTTTAATAGACTATTTAACAAATTGTAATCACATCATGAACACACACACATGATGATCGAAGGCGAAAACGATATTTTTACAATATTAATTTCTTTTCCCTGCCATCATCTTATTTTTAATCATCATCAGATACTTTCACGTTTCTGTCACCAAAACCTTTGAAGGACCACTTTGCGGTAAAGCAGACGATAGACAGCATTGGCTGTTGACATGGGTCCTAAAGGAGCAATTATGCGCAATACAGGACTCCAAGTGTCTGTTTGCCTCTCTTGTCCAACAAGTCTTCCTAACTTTGCCCCTGCTCTGCACGAGAATCCAGTGGAATGTTTCAACCCCATGGGTAAATGAATGGGAGAACAAATGAGGCGAAGGTGAAATCCGATTTCGATGGCCAGCTAGTGAGTTGAGTGCATGGTGTGAAACTTTAAGCTGCGAATTTCACGGGCAATAAATATTGTCTGCGCGTCCCGAGATGTGTGATCAAAATTGCATATTCTGAAAAAGACAGTAGTTTGTTGCTCTAGAACTGGTGGGGTGCCTAATGAAATAATGCTTATGCTCTGGTGGTTTGTCGTCACTGATGCTTCCATCACCTATAAGTTACAATTCTAATGACAGACATTAGTTCACAACTTAGGCAGTTGCCTTATGTATGCGATGCATGTGCGAGCTGTTAGAATTTGTCAGGACTGCCATGTGTTTGAGTTTTACCTGGGACAGCGATGGGCATGTAATGTTGTTGTCACTTCACGTGAACGGAATAATTATTGGATGGCCGGCTCGAGATGATGTTGAAACCACGATCCACAGCCTGCGTCATCTTGCTTTTGCACTAGAATTGTTTTCGCTCTAGCGCCTGTGTTGGCGATCGTTTTAGTTGCATTCTAAAGAATTGGTAAATCTTTCAATCTCAACTTCTCAGTTAATTTAGTGCATTTGTTGTTTCCACAGTCTGTCTGATAGTATCATTTCGGTCTTTCCCAAGCAACACGTCTCACCAGTGGTAATGTTACGTAGGTGTTATGCGTCGGGTTTGATACCGTTAGCAATGACTAATTTCTCGGCACTGCTAGCACAGTATTTGTATAATTATGACATGTATAATGATTATATGTTTGGGTGTCTTAAAAACAGTTTTTCACTTGTAGTATTTCACATTTCCCTATCGACAAGCAGACTGTTATTTCTATATCATTCGCCAACAAGAATAATTTACTGTCACATTTTTTTTTTAAACAGCAGTATTCAATGGGCAGCATGACTTTTAACATATAATAGCAAAAAAAAAAAAAAAAAAAAAAAAAAATGAAGCCATACGTACACTCATAAAAATACAAACATTGCAGAAAAATTAGGAAACAAACAGCTTCTTGGCTAGGAGCTAAAACACTTTGGCTATTTCACCCGTCGCAGTTGCTTGGAAAGAATGGTTACTGTGGAATGGAACTGATAAATAGAGGCAGGAGCATACAAACTCGAAGGGGGACACAAGTCGTAGGAGGCACCCTGGGCAGGAAAATACATGATGTTATCTGACGAGAAATCTAGTTACTTTCAGACGGGCTGTGATTGGAGCCTTCTTGCTACATAGTGGTAATGAATAAAAAGGTCCTGTGTTTTTTTTTTGGATAAAGGCTTGGGTAAAACAATTGGAAGGTCGCAGTGTGTGTAGGTAGGTACGTGTGTGCGCGCTCACTTGTGTGTGTCTGTGTTTAAGCAACATACAGTGGTGAGATTCCTTTTGAAATCCGTTTTACAGTTACAAGTTAATTTCTCTACTAACAATACAAATCATCTCTTATGGAACAAAATTTTTTTTAAATTTCAAAGCCCCACCCGGTCTGTAATCGGCGGCACTAATATAACCTAACGGTTGAATGAGGTTTCTGGGATTTATGCCCTGGGATTCTTTTTTGAAAAGTGGCAAGTTGTGACACCTGGTGTTGAGGGCTTTGTCTAAAACAATTAAAAGGTCGCATTGTGTGTATATAGGTGTGTGTTTGCGCGCGCTTCTGTGTGTTTGTGTGTGTGTTTGTGTGTGTGTTTGTGTATGTGTGTGTGTGATATTTTTAAACGAAGCGATTGATTACTTTCCAATGTTCAGTCATTCTCTGATCACTTCAGTTACGATAGTTCCAGCTAATTCATTTTAGTAAATTCTTTGGTATGTGCAACATTTTCTGCAATATATCTTTTGCCTTTTGACTTCAGCTTGTCTACAACTTTGAGAAGGTTCTCTATTTGACGATTCTTCTTGGCCAGATTTTTGGTAAGATTATCAAATATTACGATTCTGTTCTGGCATTCCTTCACCAGATATTTAAATTCTTCTTCTTGCTCGTTGCACCATTGTTGAGCAAACGTGTCCATCTCCTCACTGTCGCCTTCAAAGCAATCTCCACCTGTCAAAACCAATATACAGAACTTGTTGAGAAAATCTTGACCAAATATTGATTTTAGAACTTCAATCGTGAACTGGTATTTAGCACTGATTTTGGGAGAATATCTGAAAACAAGAAGAAAAGCATTGTAACCACGAGGGTTTATAGCGATTGCCGTCTGCATTGCTCTTATCACAGAATTAAAATCAATTTGCTCAAGCTCTTCTATGCCTGGACTGTCAACAACTTTGATGACTCGACCATTGAATTCGGACACTGCAAAGCGACTGTATTAGTCACGTGACAAGTTTGACATCTACCCAGAAACGCTCGCCGTCGGAGAATACTGTTTCCTGTTTCACTTATTCCCATTCCGGTCTTACCAATCAGCAACAGGTCAACCTGATTTGAGCCAGCCACTTGGATCTGGGGAACAAAGAAAAAAAAAAGTTTACACAACCCAATTGTTTATTATTGAATCCTATTCATTGCACATCAGAAATAATCATAAGTGTTCTGATCTTCTTCCAAACATTGCAGCAAGTAAACACAAAAGAATGTTAGCACATTTCACCAACTCTGTGGTACCAGCGAGGATCCTCGGGAGAACACACACGCGCGCCCAAACAGGCAGAGGAAGAAAAAAAAAGGGTAAGAAAAGGGGGGCACCTAAGGGTTGTCAAATCTTTTAGTGAAACAATGAATGTGGCGAAAAATATACTTCTGTTTACTGCTCAACGTTCATGCCACAATCTGTCAAAAGGTATGCCAAAAAGCAAGGGGAGATAAAAGGCTCTGTCTTACTCTAGTTTCTGGAAACTAATCACTTAAGCCATCACATGTATACACTGTACACTTTGAGTCCTCATACATTTCTTACCTAATGTTGTTTATTTTTATTCGTATCCAAAAACATCTAGGGATTCCGCACAAATATGTTCAAAATGTAAGATTATTTCGTTTTTTTTTTTTTATTTAAAGGGTGCTGGGCGTTCATTGAACCCCACCTTCACCGTACAGCGAGAGATAAACACCAGGTGTCTCAAAGTGCCACTTTTCAAATAAGAATCCCAGGGTACAAAACTCCATTCAACCGTTAGTTTGTTTTAGTGCCGTCGGTTACAGATGGAGTAGGGCTTAAAAATAAAAAATTAATAAAAACGTTTGTTCCATATAAGGGTGAGGTTATTTTGAAAGAGGCGATTTGTATTGTTAGTGGAATAATCAACTTGTAACTGTAAAACGGTTTTAAAAGGGAATCTCACAACTGTATATTGCTTAAACTGTTCTGACAGAGGCTTCAATATTAACTTACTGAACTGACTTACTGAATTCATCGGCGACTGGGTGTCCCATTGGCTCGCCGGTAGACGACTTCATCGCCTGTGGAAACATTTTTGGGGTCCGTCTTCTTTGATGGCATCAACACTGAGGGTGTCCTTTTTCAGGGCTCTTGGTGGCGTGTACTTGCTAAGCCCTTTTATATGACACACATAACCTAGTCACAGTTACAACCTAAAGCTCCCCTTAAGGCGATGCTGGTTTAACGTGACTATTTTTGATTTTCCAGCAAAGAAAAAACAAAAATAGGCTCCATGAAATGTCCTGCTAAAGTAGTGGCATTTGCTCTGATCATAGGGGGCTCAATTTGATTCAACAAATCTTTTTTTTGGAATAGTGAATGAATTTTAAGGTTGTCTTCCTCTAAGCATTCACCGGCGGTAAACTCCGGCAGAGATTTCTGGTAGTTCATCCTTTTTCCGTACTTTTCTCTTGTTTCAGGACATGAGATTTGCGTGCACATCTGTTTTACGGATCTGGCTTATTTTTATGTAGACTGTTGCTTCTACAGAGCCTCTCGTAAAATGCAGGATCGGCTTTTAAAACATGATTTATAAGGGTCAGTGGCATACATCTTTTAATCCATAATAGGGTTTTGAAACCGAAGAAATGTAAAAGTAGCGTAAGATGAATAAAGGAAAAGTGTACAATTGAAAATGGTCAGTTAAGACTATACATTAGAGAGTATATATTATTATTAATAAATTTATCAGCTTTGCTTATCGAGCATGATTGAAATAGCATGGTAACGGTGTCAAGAAGATTTTTTTAAAAACCACATAATTACTTTGTTGGATTCAGCTCCAATGGTGTTCTTCAGTACACGGCACACACTGGTTTCCTCGTCATCTGTGTCTTTTTTATGTTGGCTTATCATGTGTAGCTGGTTATGTTCCTTCTGTATTCGCATATGAATATCTATCTCTCCTGGTTCTGTGCTGTTTTTTGCCCCTGCTATTTTTAGTCCTTTGTTGGCTGCCTTTAGATCATATGTCATCAATAATTCTTTCACAGCAGTGGCATCACTATCTTCTGTCAGTGGTACTTCTTTCACAAAGTGTGTGCTCTCTACTTGTTGTTTTGTTGTGCCCCCTTCATTTACAACTTTTACATTGGCTTCAGTTGGATCAACCAAATATCCTTGCATCCATCTCACATGGTCAATCATTTCATTTAAAACTCCAGTTCCATTGTCTTGTAATGTGATTTTCGTAAACAGATTCTGTGCACGGATCTGAAGAGCTCGCAATCTCACCATTTTAATTTCCAACTCTTTAACGAATTGCAAATTGTCGCTTTCATTCAAAATCAAGTTTGTTTCCTTCAATACTTCTTCCTGGATCAGTGCTCTCTGAGCTTCAACAAAGTATCGTTGTCTTTCTTCTTTGGCGTGGGCAAAGTCTTCATCTGTGTACCTGTTGCCTCTTGTTTTTAGATTGCCCACCATCTTGAGGAGCTTTAGGACCTGTTCATTTCTTTTAGTCGTAAGTGTGGTCACGTTGTCAAATAATATAACTCTCCGCTCGCATTCATTCACCAGATCTCTGAAGTCACCAGGATGCTCGTCGATCCATTCTTCAAATGACGTCCAAGAATTTGCACTTTCTTGCGTAAACAAATCCCCACAGGTGAAAACCAAGATGCAGAAATTTCTGACAAAGTCTTGACCAAATACTTTCCTGAAACAATCAACGGTTTCTTTAACTTCTTTTGTGTATTTCACACCAAATTTGACAACAATAAGAAAAGCATCATAGCCATGAGGATTAGCAGCGACTGCATACTCCATTGACGCCTTATGTAGATTAAAAGCTTTCTGTTTGCTCACGTGAGTATGGCCTACTCCAGGAGCATCCACAACTTTTACCCGCTGACTGTTAAACTCAAATAGGCCGCATTCAATCTCTGATGTCATAGATAAGGGCGATGAGCTGGTTTTAAAGGCATTGTATCCTAGAATACTGTTTCCTGTGGCACTTCTTCCGTGTCCTGTTCTCCCAATCAGTAACATATGGACATCTGCAGGCGCATTCATGTTAAACTGCAAATAGAGGAACATGTACATTTGACGTTTTTCTTCGAGCCTTTAATGATCGAAGGATATTTGTAAATATTAACTCCTTTATCACCACAAAGCTAAGTGTACGCTACTTGTTCATTCCAAATATATTGAATATAGTATCTAAGATGTCGGATATAGGAAATGAGTGCTGTATTAACCCTTTGCTTCTGAGTAACTAGTTTAATTACTTCTTCCCCAGTTTGTCTGTTGAGTTTCGTCAGGTTTTAAGTATTTATTGATTCTGAGCCTGAGATGAAATATTTTAGAGTAATAACTGCTTGAGATAGAAAGAGTTTAATAAACACAAGAGGGTAAGTCGCAAGCAAGGCAAGGATCAGTACTGGACCCTGCCTGACAGATGATAATCCTAACTGGAGGTATTGTCGTGAGTAAAAAAAAAAAAGATTGCCTTCTGAGCAAGGTCACAACTACTGGGGCAACAAACCCTTTAATCCATTGCACTTGGCGCAAATAAAACCGGACCATAATTATAAACGAAGCTCTTTTCGGCAGTGTTTAGTCGATTTTTTTGTCCTTCTTCTTAAAAAATGAACGAACTTCATGGCCCCATGTTTTTATCGCCACAAATCTGTCTCTAGGGGCTCAATGGGTCTAAACCTTGTTCAAATTCAAATGCGCAATCAAAACAATTATTCATGGGCTAAATGGAATTAAAAAAAAAAGTATATTAAAAATAATATGGAATATATAAACAAGAACATATAAAGGAAGATCCTATACATAGTTAGGAGCCACAAAGCACCCCCTTCCCCTCCTTTTTTTCTTCCCCCCCCCCCACCACCACCCATTATCTACCCAAAAGAAAGATAGGCCTCAGCCCACCCTTTAAATTACTGGGAGACCTCAATGTACCTGAGTCCTCAGGTTCCAATGCCTCTGTAGAAGCTCCCACCCCTCACACACACACTTGTTTAACCTTATTGCAACTCAAATCTCTTTATGAAGTAACAAACATAACGCCTATCACTTACCTCGAAATGGGATTTCAACGGATGACACGATGTATACGACTAATGTGTGCTAATACGGCATACAGATGCTTAGAATAGACTTGATGAAATGTGGTTTTCTAGCATCATATATCCACTATAATTCAATGTTTCCGAGAAGAATCCTCCTTTACTACCTTATAGTTTTTCTGTTATTACAAAGTAACATCGGGAATTTCCACAATCTTTTTAAAGTCTTATAGTCTGTGGCTAAAAATAAACACTTATGTAATGACCAGAATAAACAAGGGTAAGAAGGTATATATATATATTCTTTCAGTTCATTTTCCACACCTTTAGGCTTGTAGGGCATATAGGGTTAGACCTATATTTTTATAGACCAGTCGGCACAAGATGGGTGATGCGGTCCGCATCACGTCGGCCGCCTTTACTTCCAAGGAACGCACCCAATACCTACTCAAGGCTGGGTCTACCTGGCTTTTTTGGAAAAGTCCGGCTCTGTCCCCACGCGAGTGTCTAGCCGCTAGACCACGGCGACTTCCAAATATATATATATATATATGACAAAAAGAAAATAGTCACGACAGAAATGAAATGTTTACGTACTATGCTAGGTTTAACTAGAAAAGATCGACTTAGGAACGAGGATTTGAGGAGGAGAGAAGGCACAGAACCAATACTGACATTTAAAGGTAGACAACACATGAAATGATTTGGCCATTTAACTAGACTGGCATCAGACAGGGCACCACAAAGAGCAGTGCTTTACAGATGCAATGGCAACAGAACTAAATGTTGCCCACGCAAAACATGGACCGCATAAATATCAGAAACACTGAAAAGTACTTTATGCGAAGCCAACAGAAGGTCCCGTTCCAGAGATCTTTTCCTGCCCTGACGCCGCAGGGCACAGCAGGTGTAGAAAAAAATATGTGTATATATATATATATATATATATATATATATATATATATATATATATATATATATATATATATACATATATCTTTGTATATAGAAAGTCTGACAATTAAGTAATGATACTGATTTTATTACGGCCAAGACAAAAGTGCCATCTATGAAGCAAAGCATGGAATCCAAAGAGGCAACCTTTATCTATGATCTGACAACTTTGCATCGCCACCTGATAAGCAGACGACAAACGAGCTGCCATTTTATTAACCTAGTTACATGTGCATTGTTACAAAATCAGCATGGAACAGAAAGCTAACAATAAATTATGTTTAAAACTAGGAAAAACTGCCACTGAGACAGTTGAATTATTGCGAAAAGTTTTTAAGGGATAACTGTTTATCTGGTGCACAGATTTGAAGGTGGTATTCACGATTAAAAAGTGGTGCGAAATGATTACTAATGCAACTAAACCTGGACGCCCAATTTCTGTTTGTAATGATAAATTCATTGCAAAAGTCACAGAACAGATACAAGAAGATTTAATGTCAGGATGATGTCAAATGAATCTGCTGTTAATAGAGAGAACCATCAAAAAATTTTAGTGCAAGATTTTGGCAAGCAAAAAAAAAATTCCTGCAGGTTTGTACCGCATTCATGGCTGATGACCAAAAACATCAGCGGGTTGAGTACCCACGAGACATCATCAAAATATGAATTTTTGGCCTTAAAACTAGTCTGTTTTCAACTATCCGCCGTATTCCCCAGATTTGTCTCCCTGTAATTATTTTCTGTTCCCAAAATTAAAGTTACCATTAAAAAGACGCTTCTTTGACGATATTGATGACATCCAAAGAACTGTAACATCGACTTTAGGGGCTATAGCAACAGAAGAACTACAGAGGTCGTTCCTGTGTTCCTTAAATCGTGTTACTCACTGTATCAATGCACGAGGGGCTTACTTTAAAAATAATACAGGTTATATCTTCAACTGTTGATTATTTAAATTTTTATGGAATTAGTCCTATTATTTTATTGTCGGACCTTATATATATATATATATATATATATATATATATATATATATATATATATATATATATATATATATATATATTTGAGCTGTACAAAACATTCGCTTTGTGTTCGCTTTAGGGCCGAATAGTGGACCTAATAACTATATGGTATTCGGCCGAATACTTGCGGTCGTGTCAAATACGAATAATAGTTACCTTTCACCTGCTCTTGCTTACACGGCCTTAATGCTGAAAACATGAAACGATTGATTTTGTTGAAAGCTAATGCCGCTTTCATGCATTAACTAAGCGGTCAGGGACAATTTACAAGTTTAGTTACTTTTTAAAATAATTAGAATACTTTCATTCATAGTTATTAGTTACCACAGACTGACTGAAGGATGTAAAACATAAAATGTTTTTAAATGTTTACTATTCTGTACGAATATCAACTAGACAGGGAAAGAATATAAACTCTGGCCACATCCAAGTAGATAATATGAAAATCAAACGAACGGAAACAGATAAGTACTTGGGTACAAACCTCAACCGCTCCAACATGCTGAGAGAAGAAATACAATCTAGAATGGAATCTGAAAATAAAGAATACTATGCCCTTCAACATCTACTAAAGTCAGAATGTTGGTCTGGCAACACCAAGGTCAGGATATATAAGACGTTGATAAGACCAATCGTTTTATATGGCTCTGAAACATGGAGCACAACTAAAAGAGATGCAATCTTATTACAGGTTTTTGGAAGCAGAGTCTAACAACGAATCTTTGGACCCATCAAAGATGCAAACAGTGGGCCACTGATAACTGGCGTCTTGAAAGCTAATAGACTGAAATTGATGGGGCATATTGAAAGTATGTCAGATGACAGAGAAGTAAAAACTGTATACACACGGGAAAGAGAAGACCAACTAGAGAGATGAATGGAGGCGAGTGATATCAGCAGCAGTAAACCTCAAGGGCTTGGAATGCTGGAAAAGAAGAAGAAGAAGACGACTATTCTGTACTACATTTTGTGAAGTGAAAGTTCACCGTAAATTTTTTGACATTATAAATGTTTTTTTAGATCAATATTATACACTATTCGTATTCGTGTTCTATTCGGCCGAATAGTTGGTCCCGTTATTCGTATTCGGCCGAATAGTGATTATCACCTATTCGGTACAGAATATATATATATATATATATATATATATATATATATATATATATATATATATATATATATATATATATATATATATTTTATATAAATATATTAGGGCTGTACCGAATAGTGGTTTTAACTATTCGGCCGAATACGAATAGTGGGACCAACTATTCGGCCGAATACAAATACGAAAATTGTATCATCATCATCAGGTGCCTCGCCGACTGGTGTGGCGATTTTGCCTCGCCACAATCTGCGATCTCCTGCAGCATGTATCAGTTTGTGTGCTGACACACCTCTATGACATGCAACGACTGTCAAGAATCTTCTCTCATTGTCTTTATCTATCTCCCCTTCCACAAATCTTTCCAGTGGTCACCACATGTTCCATTTTCACTTTTTCTATACGATGGCCGAAAAATGATGACTGTTTTCTTCTGATGTCTGCGATTAGTTGTCTTCGGGCTCCCGCCTCTTTTAAAACCTAGTGGTTGCTTTTTTTTTAAGCTGTCCAAGGTATTTTAAGCATTGTTCTGTAAAACCACATCTCTAAGGCCTCAAAAAATTGTTTGGCCTGGCTACCGATTGTCCAGGACTCATAGCCATATGTTAAAACTGGATGTATGTAGCAAGCAAGACAACGATATATTGCACAAGATGTTCTTTTTATTTTTAAAATAAAATGCAGTTTTTGCCTGTCATATTTTTATTTTTTTTTAAATTTTAGTAATGCAT